ATAAATACACATAAATGTTATCAATTTAACAGAGAGATGTCAGACAGCTTTATTTATTTTACTGAGATAACAAAATGTTACGCTTGTTCTTGTCGTATTTGTCATCTCCTTAATCAAATCGAATACTGATTTATCATTGAACACATTAAATATCAGCATCATTTTTTGGATCTGTCAAAATAGACATGTCAAATGCGAAAAATAATCAACGAACTAGTTAATAGAAAAAGTGAATCTAGTTACTCTCTTAATTGTTCTCTTGTTCTGTATATCTTTTTTCTTTATTGTAGTAAATGTTATTTTTACTGTCACGGATGAATCATCTCAGTAGATTAATTATTATTAGTAGTATCATTACTATGGTGTTTGTCAGACAGGTTCACTAATTGAAGAACAAAACGAATCAATGCAATAGTGTTTAAAACCTAAATGACCTTCAGTATCATCGTGTTCGTTACAAAGAAATCAATATATTTAGAAAATCTTTAGCAATAAAATTCAGGAGGTGCCCTTCATTCTGTGTAAGACTGTTTAGCGAAATATACCGCTTCATCATCTCAAATGAGACTGGAATTTAGCTGGTGTAGATTCACCTAACTGTTGAAGGCCTAAATAAATCAAAACAAACCTTTTTAGATTTGACTGCTATTGAGTGTCAAAAAATATAGTTAATATATGAATAAAAATAACGTCGAGGTAATTTGACCTTAAATCTAAAAATAATGACAATATTGTTCGGTGAGATGAAAAAGGCTCTCTCATAATATATGAAACTGGAAACTGGAAGAAAGTAGATTTCATTAAAGCTTATCTTTTAAAGAGCTTGTTTTGCCTAATATGAAGTTTCTTTACGTTTTGATCAAATTATATTACTCTAGAAACCAATGAAAACCATAAAGCACTCAAAAATTGTTCAGTTTGAATTTGGAAATTCTCAATTGTACACACCCATGATCCGATGGTGCAAGTGTTTTAGGAAGTAAAATATCAATGGTTTATATTATCCAGTGATATAGTGTCATGATCGGGCCCCATATGTGTTCAAATACTTTGATTCTCATATGAGTAACTTCATAAATCATGACTTCTAACTAACTGAGTAGATACTGCATACTAAAGCATAATCTTCACTGAGGTTTTAATTTAGAGCTCTAAATTTCATTTCGTTTGCTTTGATATCAGCCAAGCTGGGATGCGGTGCAGTGGCTTGTTTACAGAAAATATATGTAGATACCTTCAGATTATTTAAATAAAGTCCCCAGTAAAAATAAACGCATACTTGCAGCACTGACACACTAAGTGAACATAAAAATTCGCACTTTTATTGACTATTGAAAAACGATGGTTATGCTCTCATCTAAATAACATTCCTGAATTCCAACCCATGTCAGTTTATGATGAAAAACTCTGACTCTAATTTAATACCCTAACTCCTATTTTTAACTTTTAATCCTAAAGCTTAACCCAAATATCTATCACAAAATTAAATTGTTCAATCTGATTGTGCAATATGCATTTAGAAACATAGATAACTCAATGACATATTTTCTCACGTCTATGCTTGATGATAAGGTCTTAATACACCTACATATATAAACAATAAGCGTTTTCAAAGTAAAAAATCTTTACCATATTGCGAAATGAATACATACAAATCCCACAAGTAATCTGATCCTATGGTCAAACAGAAGTTGGTATTTTCACTGTAATCGATAAAAGGCAACAATTTATGAATGATAATAGCATTTCCACCTGTAAATTCTTATGGGCATTATATTTTGACCGAATTATAGAGATTTTATAATATTGAACAAAAAAACATGTATCATTTATGTCATATTTCTGTCCATAAACTAGACAAAGAATGGATTTCAAATCATCCATTCCAGATGGTGTCTCAGATTTCCAAATAATTTATTTCGCACAATGACAAAATATCTGAGTTTGTAACTGTACATAAGTGAAAATGTATCTCTCTCTATTTTTGTGGATATTTATGCATTATGCAGAATTACATCTAGCCTTAATTAGGTGATGATAGTGATAATAATGAGGGTGAGTTACAACTGTATAACATTGAAAGGACTCAGATGAACAACGCGATTCAAGATAACTTCCGAGGATATTCGGAACAACGGAGGCGGAGATAACACATATGTATTACCATAAATAGTGGGGGGGGGAGTATTTTGAAGTGAATGACATTGATGTACTTAAAATATCAAAGACAGTTTCATGATCTCAGTTCGCGTATTTACTGCACAAATTACTTGTTTTATATAGAATATACGGCTTGTGGTTAGTGATAAGATTTATGATGCACGTTTCACCTTATTAGGGACCCATCGATTGCATGTGATGACGTTTACACTGGGAATAGAAAATAATACTTTTCGCTTTAAAAGATGTGTTGTTTAGAGAGCTAATGTATTCAAATATCCGAGCATTTGTGCAATAGATGTGATATTTGTACCACTATTACAAAGAACAGTTTAAATAATGCGATTGCTGATATTCCGGACTTAACTTTAATCGTTATAGTCCGTCTGTTCCGGATAAAACTATATGATGGGATTTCGGGTAGAGGGTACATGTGCCAACAAAGACTGATCTAAATTCAGTCAAGAATATCAACAGAGGGATAATTCAAACTATTTTTGATAAATCACATACCATTTAAACTAATAGACGTTGAAATTTTGATATTGCTTAGTAATTATACAATTTGACAGCATGGTATCTCTGAATTAAGCTGAGTCATTATTACTGATCTTCGCTGATTCAATTGGTAGATATGACAGGATGAGGAAATGGAAACTAAACACCTTAACTATTTGTTTTAAACTCATGACAGCTTACATTTAAAAAATCTATAAGTTTCAAAAAATAATCACAGTAAGTTAGTTTGATTAATATGAAAACTGCGTCCTAAAAGAACGCCTGAAGAGACATTATCGTATACTGACTGCTATGAATCTATGTCATAATGGTGAATTTATAAAGTTGCTAGTATTGATTTAGAACACATATAATCAAGAACAGTCACGTATTCCCACAAATCCACTGCGAAATTGTAAGTTAATCAGTATTTTAGTAATGTCACATTTTCTAAACCAACTGGTTTAATCTTGAAACTTATAATATAATGCTGAACAACAACAAAGTCTCTTAAATCAAGGTTTCTACTAGAATTATTTAACTCAAAGAACTCAGAATCACTCATAGTATCCGTCTGAACTACAATGTCTTCATTACTCCAAATCATTAACGGCGAAGAGTAATCGGTACATTGCTAGCTGAATGATGCGTTAAGGATACCTACGATTTTATGTATTGCAAGGGGTAACGGATGGTTGTTGAGTTCGATACTGTGAAGTGTTGACCTTTATAAATCTGACTTTCATTTCTAAAAGAAGAAATACATAGAAGAATAATGTTACATAGCAATTTAACTCTTGAATAGGGCAGCTCCACTGAATCCATCAGACATCGAAGTAGCACATGCAAACTATCCTACAAATGTCACTCCACCAACAATAGAAGAAATCAGGATGGTCATCAGACAACTCAAGAGTGGGAAAGCAGCCAAACCTGACAATATATCAGCTGATGTACTGAAGTTGGATATAGAAATAAGTGCAAACATGCTCCTCGTTCTATTCAGGAAGATTTGGGAGGAAGAACAAGTGCCATGGACTGGAAAGAAGGATACCTCATCAAGATACCAAAAAAGGAGACCTGAGCAAGTGTGAGTACTACACAGGCAGCATACTACTGTCAGTACCAGGAAAATTTCCTAACACAGTGTTGCTAAACCGGATGAAAGACTCAGTAAACGTCCAGCTTCGAGATCAACAGGCTGGTTTCCGTGATGGTCGGTCGTGCACAAACCAAATCACAGCACTAAGGATCATCGTTGAACAGTCAACTGAATGAAACTCGTCACTATACATCAACTTCATTGACTGTGAGAAAGCAGTCAATAGTGTGGATAAGAAAACATTGTGGAAACTTCTTCGACACTATGGAGTGAGTAACCGAGAAAATCATCATCATCATCCAGAATTCATACGATGGACTACACTGTAAAGTAATGCATGTAGAACTGCAGACAAACGCATTCGAGGTGAGGGCTGGAGTCAGACATGGCTGCTTGCTCTCCCCCCTTTCTACTACAACCATCATCAGCAATGTACAGGTATTAATAAACAATTATCTACGCAATATACTTAATGTCCGTTGACCGGATACCATTAGCATCAGTCTACTATGGAAGAGAACAAACCAGCTTCCAGAAGAAGAAGAAGAAATTGGAAAGACGTTGCAAATGGATAGGATACACATTGAGGAAATCATCGAACTGTATCACGAAGCAACCGTTAACTTGGAATCCTAAAGTGAAACAGAAGAGAGGAAGACTGAACAACACACTGTGCCGAGAATAAGAGACAGACATTAAAAGAATGAATAGCGACTGGAAGCAATTGGAGACAACTGTAAAGGATTGTCCAGGATAGAGTTCAATGGAGAATACTGGTGGACGACCCATGATCCTCCACGAGCGGTAACAGGGTTAAGTAAGTAAGTTTTTATGAGGAGATAATCCCAAACAATTTAGCCACCTAAACTGCTATGTTTGTTTCGAATGAGATTAAGTTTAGTGACCGCGTACAACGCATTTAAATAGCTGAATAAAGTCATTTGTGCTATTATTCATTTGGTCAGATAGATGCAGGATTCATCTGATATTTTTCGGCATAAAAACTCGGGTAATTAACTACTTTGCTAACAAATATCTACTTTTTAGTTTGGATTCAAAATGAACCATCAGATTGGATTTTCCCAATCACTTAGTAATAAAGAGTAAGAGTGAGATAGAAATTGTGTTTAAACATGACATAAAGCAACAGTTTATATTGTTATTAACATAATAATATCATTTATAAAATAGTACAAATTGGCGTTGGTACAGAAGTATTCGTATAAAATATGTTACTTACTTATCCCCTGTTTATTAATTTGGTCAAGTTCCTGCGTAGTTTTTGCTTGACAAATTGCCGATGGTAAACGAAGGAATGATCCACGATTGCTTTTTGACAGAATGAAAAAATCAGGAAAGAGGTAAGTAAAAGACTCAGATGGAATGGATGAACTTTTTATTGGATGAATTATTTAATCTAAAAATCCTTTACACAATGAATTGTAGGTTGATGGCCTTAAACATTTAAGAAATGGTAAGAACAAGTAGACTTTATAGGTGAGTTTTTACGACTTTTATTGATAAAGAATTATGCAAATTTTATGAAAGAGATGGATTGTGGCTACAAGTGGAATTCAAGACGCGTACTTTATCCCATTTGAGAATCTCCATTTTTGTGTTATATGCTATGCTACTTGTTGATGCTCAGTAGTTTGGTTGTTATCAAACATTTTTACAGGCTATGAACTGATAAAAATGTATATTTGTTGCAACAAACCATTTATCTCACCAGTTTATTCTATTATTTTGAAGTCTTATTGTCTTTTCATAATTTTAGCAGTACTTCACTCTGTGTCGCCTCATATTTACAAGAGAACTAGTGGGGTAAATGAAGAATCTTTTGACGTCATTATGAATATGGCTATAGATAGATATTTGAGGTTTTGCAAACAAGTGGTGAGCTTTATTTTATCAGGTGAAAACCATCCACTTCATTCAAATACTGCCGTTTGTATCGCTTCTAGCAGTGAAATGCAATTAGATCATAACTCATGAACCTCGAGAAAAGCATAAAAATTCTAGATTATCTTATCTAACACATATACTTTGTAATGAACATATTTCAGGGGCTGACCTAACTGAAAGCTTCTACACTTGAACTTAATGTTAATAAAATCTTCAATTGTACTGGTAATAGACACTTCTAGACGAAAAAGGATAATAGCGTTTCAAATCATCTTAGACAGATGATATGGTCTTGCAATCCTAGATGGATCATTACAAGACCAGATTGGTAAGTAATACAGACGTGCATTTAACTCCGTGTGCTGTGACAGACACATTAATCAGGAGTTCCACCCAAGAACAACAATAACTCCCTAAATGATATCAGATCGCAGAGCAAACAATCGAAAAAATTTAGTGACCTGTTAATAAATATTGACTTTAACAGTTGAATTCACGAGTCAGTCTAAGCCAGACAACCATTAAAAATCCGAAAGCACTGGACGGCCGTCTCGTCTTAGTACGGGACTCTTCAGCAGTGTGCAGCTAAGACCTCTGGTCCTGCGCACGAACGTGTAATCTCTAGACCACTGAGCCGGCATTTAATGGTAATAATGTCTAACTTCAATCGACCCATACTATAATCTCCACAAATTCCTATGCCACTATTGACTTACCTTACTTGAACAAGTAAATAGAATTCTAATAAATGTATCAAACTTTTGAATATTAAACGCATTTTCTTGTCTCCAGTCAAACAATAACCATCATGAGGAAGTATTTCAATCAAATTATGTTTGATTGGCAAATAAACATTCTGATGTTGATTTTTGTTGTAGTTGTCTTCAATGTAGTCTTTGTGTTTAGCATGTAAATAACCGTTAATTTTATTGAGTGAACGTATCGCCGTTGTTGGTGGACAAACACGAGTGAGTACCATACTTGAATTTTGTTGGTTTACACGAACGATGAAATTCTGAAAGGTAGAAAACAAAAAAAATTATGACACTAAACGTAGTAACAAATTCCAAATGATTTTATATCGCTAGTTAATTTTTGAGTAGCGTTATTATCATTGGTAGTAATGAAAGTGGATTTTAAGAAATTTAACAAGAAATAGCTCATATTATGGTGCACGCTGCTTATGCTGATAGATATAAGTAATATGTAACACCAATCGGAAGTGAAATGCTTGCCCGAATAGGATTGAATTGAAGAGAACAGGAAGGGAAACAGAGAACAGTTGGAATAATAACAGAATTGGAAGAATCATGAAGTATGTCATGAACAAGTGAAAGAAGATATACAAATAATGTATTTAGTGCATGCTTTTCATATTTTACAAAACCACTGTGTAATTTTGCACAAAACAATGATCCAGTTTTCCACTGCTAAGTTGTCATTCACCACAATATTAATTCATTTCATTATTTTCATACTGTATAAGATTGTATAGGTTATGAAACCAGAAGTATATATTCAATTATAAAAGTTTCCAACTGATTCATCTACATTAGTCGGGTAAAAAATGAAATGATTATTGTAAGGAATTTGCTTTTATTTCAATAAATAATGGATTTGAAGATTTAACAGTTTGGTCATTATGACCATTTATATTCCAGTTAATATAATCAATAATCTATAACGTGTAATTTCACTTTTCATATATAATTCTATTCATGTAGCTTTTTAAAGCTAATTACTTAAAACTAAGGCTGTCTACTCTTCTACTTCCACTTTTTTCTGATGGTGGGCTCGATTATGAGGACCTCCACATCTGAGTGAGAGCATGGAATACAACGGACAGCTCAGAATCAGTTAGACGATTTGGATTTTGCAGATGACCTGGCCCTTCTATCCTATGCACACGAACAAACTAGATGAAGACAACTAGTGTAACAGCAGTCACTACACCAGTAGACCTAAACACAAACAAAGGAAAAACCAAGATCCCGAATTACACGGAGAACACCAATCCAATCACACTGGATGAAGGAGCTCTGGAACGGGTGGAAACTTTCGTGTACCTGGACAGTATCATTGATAAATAAGGAGGATTTAATGCGGATCGGAAGGCACGAATTAGCAAAGCAAGGGCAGCATTCCTACAATTGAGGAATATTTGGAACCCAAAACAACTGTCAACCAACATCAGAGTCAAAATCTTCAGTACGAACGTCAAGACGGTTCTACTGTATGAAGCTGAAACTTCGAGAACTACTACAACATTAATCAAAAATGTAAAGGTATATATTAACAATTTTCTACGCAATATACTCAATGTCCGTTGACCGGATACCATCAGTATCATTCTGCTATGGGAGAGAACAAACCAGCTCCCAGGAGAAGAAGAAGAAATTAGGAAAAAACGTAAATGGATAAAAACACATTGAGGAACTCATCGAACTGTCTCATGAAGTAAGCGTTAACTTGGAATCCTAAAGTGAAACAGAAGAGAGGAAGACTGAACAATATATTGCATTGAGAATCGGAAGCAAACATTAAAAGGGTGTATAGCAACTGTAAAGTATTGTCTGTGACAGGGTTGGATGGAGAGTGCTGGTGGGCAACCTATTCTCCTACACGAACGGTAACAGGTGTATATAAGTAAGTACTTAGAAGTAATTCAGTAGAATTGTGATTAGGCATTTTAATAAATTCTAATCTAAACTTTAACATAAAACAATGACTAAACCATATTTTATTATCATTCAACTCTTTATCAACTCATTACTTATTATGTAATTGTTCTTTTTTTCGTTTTCGTAAAAACAAAAGTGAACAAAATTAAATTACTTTTTAGGTTTATTTTTATTTGTTTGTTTTATCTATTTAACTACAATAACATATTCAATTTTGAAAGAAACCCAGTAACGATGACTATAATTTCAAACTTTCAAGACAATTAATCATAATAGAGTTTTATTTATAGGGTCCTTTTTGATATTGTCATTGATTTAATATAGTAATCAAGTTTTAATTTTTAATATTATACACAAATTGAAGATGGATAAATTTTTATCAGAATCTGTTTTGTGAAGATTTTTCGAAACTTCACTGGTTGAAATTATGAGTCGATTGGAGCTAGACCACCATGGAAAACCTGGAAGCACTGGACGGCCGTTTCACCCTAGCATGGGACTCCTCAGCAGTGTGCATCCACGATCCCACATCCCGCGGGATTCGAACCCAGGACCTACTGATTCCGCGCGCGAGCACTTACCATTAGACCACTGAGCCGGCAACCAATGGTGTTAATGTCTAACTTCAACCAATCCACGAAGTTGCGCCACCGTACACTATTGTCTTCAGTGAGCTGATATCTCACAACAAACGTGGTTGAACTCCACTGGTAACGGCTTCTCACTAGAACTCCAGGAGTATCTCCTGAAGTCAGTCACTAGTGAGCAGTTGATTATTATCAGAATCTGTTTTGTGGAGATTTTTCGAAATTCCACTGATTGAAATCATGAGTCAATTGAAGCTAGACCACCATGGGAAACCTGGATAAATTTTTACTTGCTTGTATCCTAGTGATCATTCAATTTTTCATCTTAATAATAATAATTATTATTATATATCTATATATTCAATGATTCAATGAAGATGATCAAATACATATTGTTTATTTTGTACAAAAACTTCATTGATCACTAGTTGAAACAATATTTGAATGGTATCACAAGTCATTGATTACAATGTTTATATGATTTTTGGTAATGATGACAAGAAAGTAAAACAATAAAGAAGAAGGCTTGACATTTTTATAATTTGATAAATGTGTACACACCATAAATCAAGTCAACTTTATGGATCATTTTAAACATCAAATTATTATTCTATTTATTCTGTTAAAAAAAATAATAATATTCTTTAATGTCAGTCTTCAATTATTCTCATAGTTTGTTTTTATAGCTGTCTAGTTTCTATGAAAGTTCATTAGTAGCCAAAGAATATGAAGTAAAACTAACTTCTTTTATACGAAATTTCTAGGATATTTATTAAATAGTTAATTAAATGCTAGTGAAAGAAAATCTTTTCATTTTTCAATATTATATTGAGTAAATAAAGAACATATGAAACCTATTCTACTATTAAATATTTACATGAGATCATATAAAGGAAATTCTTCATTGTAGGTATCATTACCAAGGTTTGATTTGATAATTTCGAATAAATTGAGCATTGGGTAGACTGTTATAAATAAATTAATATATTTGTAATATCCCAATGAGTAGAAATATTAAATTTTCTGACGTTTTGTGACTTAGTGTAAGCCACTTCTTCAGACAATAAATAACCAAAGCATAATTAATCCAAGCTTAAATAGTACAACAGAACAACAAGAATATTTTGCGATCAATCAAAAAACAGGTCTGAATAAATCAATGTCATGTTATTTCGGTCAAGGTGTTTTATAAGCGACATGTATGTAATTTGTGTGTATGTAAGTGTACACTGTTAAGGATGAAAATTGTATGATTTTTATGGTGAGAAAGGATTGAGTTTAATTTGTAATATGGCAGTGTGAATTGTAAATAATATCAGACTATGTGGCTCGGATACATAGTCCAAGTAGGATGTATAGTAAGGCCTTCTTTTCTATTGAGAGCAGTAGGATTAAGCATTATATGGAACGCTTCAGCTACTCTCCTTTCTTTGTAATTGGAAAAACCCTTTTGTAATATTTTGATATTTTTGAAATCGATTTGGTAGTCGCTGAAAAGGAATCAAATATTTTCACCAATCACATTAAACCACGAATTTGGCTTAGATATGTAGATGATACATTTGTTGTGATGAAAAAGATTCATCCACTATGTGTTCTAAAAATTTATGATTTTTGAGAAATAGTAAGTCAACCTATTGTCAAGCTGCTATGAAGCCCGAAGAAATAAAGTCATTTTGTATGCTAATATCCATTATCCAATAGAAATTAATAGGAACCGGAATTACCTGTAATAATAAGATTTCCTCTAACTAGATTAAATGAAATGTATCTACAATCGAACCCAGATGCGTGCATGGATATACAGGTAAGGAGGGAGGAAAACATAGAGACAAATTGGCTAGAACAACAGACTGACTATTGTAGTTAACAGCCACACATATTTCATAGATGTTTTTCAGATCGATATCTAATTATATTTGGAATTGTCTTTAACTGAAGTGTACAAACATCTGGTTGTTTAACTGATTCATCGTATGCAACTAATTGAATAATGGTTGTAAGGTCAAAATTAAGTAGACTTCTAGATAAGGTCACATGTCTGACCCTATCATCTATGCTAATCAGCTTTTCCATGCTAGTCCATTTGTTTAATTGTTCGTCAAAAACCACAAAATAATGTTCTGAGTCCATTTGATAAGACAAACGCCAAACTAAATTTCGGTACCATAAAACCTAGTATGAACATATACATCTGATTTTCAACATTCAACAAGCATGGAGTGCTCTGAATTCTCAGGTATTTTCTCGTCCATTTAGTGAATGGGTGCTGCATGTAATTTCAATTATAGCTCTAATTTCACATTAGTTGCAATTTTCAACCAGGATGTTTATACGCGCTACACTAACGTGTGGGTAGAAAACGGAGGTAGACAACTTCAGACATTTAAAATAAACCTCTAGTGAATGCTATACTCTTAGGTGTAGCTTATCCACTTAATAAATAGAAAAAATGTCCAAAAATCCAGGGCACCGCACACCTATTGAACAACAGAAAAAAACAGATGGAATACTCCATTTTGCAACCTATGTTCACAATATTTAATATTTAATAACACAGTAAAATGTTTTCACTTGAAAGATAAACCAAAATTCTCCAAATATATGCTGGGAACTAAAAAAAATTCACTAATACATTGTTTTTTCTTTACTTTTTCCAGTCTTCTGTCGCTCGAGATAGTGGAATCGTTATGTTACCGAAAAAAGTGATTGGTGATTTCGTTTATTCCTATGGATCTTCCAGTTGA